TCGTCTTGGGTGGTTGAAGATCACCTTGTCCATGGAGGCACACCACGTGTACGGGCCGTCGCCTCCCCTCGGGCTACTTCCGTTGCGATGTTCGCATCAGTGACCGGTTCGATTTATCTGAAGCACTGTGGGCACTTCAGGTGGCCGTCGATCATCTGATACCCGCAAATCGGGTGGTAGCACCGGGTGCAAGGAAACTCCTGGATTTGGGTGACAGAAATGTCTTTCATCTGCAGTTCAAAGCCCCATCGCCCATGTCCTTTTCCCGAATTGCCGCCCCCTTTGCCATGACGTCTGTGGTGTTGGAAACCGCATGCATCTGTACTGTACTTGTCATTGCCGCCACTTTGGCGATGGTGTAGCCAGAGACCAGCTGATTTCCAGTCGCGGGCTCACCCTCCCGGATGTCAGCGCTTTTCTCCACAATGCGCTCCTCCTTTCTCGAGAACGGCAACAGCTTCCCAAATTCGATCCGCTGTTTGATGCCCTCGAAGTTGAGCTCGGCATCTGACAAGTACATCGTCATTTTGCTCAGGAGATCGTCGGTCGGGTCAAAATGCTCCTTCGCTTCCTTCAGAACGGCTTGGTACGCCTTGCGATGTGTGGCGTAGGCCCGGTTCACAAAGAAGAACTCGCCGCTTCTCATGTCGCACGCGTTCATGAGTGCCACATTGGATACCCAGTCTGGGGAGAGAATTGCTTCACCGGTCGCGAAGAGTTTGGTACCAAGTAGTTCGGTATCAAATGCTATGGCCATTGGCCTCCCGGCCCGCGTCCCCTGGAGCTTCTTCATCTCAGCCTTCCATGGAGGGGTGCTGTTGAAGTTGTGGGCGCGGCCAGTCTTGTGTGGAAAACCACCTGGCACCAATCCGTTGCAAATGATGGACAAAAATGCCGCTTGGTCACACGTGTGGTAAATGACCCTTGGAAAGTCCTCCCAGATGGGCGAGCCTTCCGGCATCGCAGAGAAGCATGGATGCACCATGGGATCGCCCACCTTGCTGACGTCGAAGTCCATGTCAAAGGTGTACATGGTACGAATCATTGAGGCCATCCCGCCTTCTTGAACGAGAAAGTTGCGGTGCCCCTGGATCGCACGGATCCTCACCGGTGTCCACTGGAGCTTGCCGTAGGACATGCTGCTCACCTGGATTCGGATCCACCTTGCGCTCGGGGACCCCCACCATGTTGCTGGGCTCGATCCAGACGAGGTCTTGGGCTGATGTGAACTTGGAAGTGTCAAACTCCTGGCGTCGAGGTCCATGCCCTTCGTCGACGACCTTCAACTTGGGCTTGGGCATGGCCTTCTTGGCTGGCTTCACCTTGGCCTTCAGGTTCAATGCAGGGTCAGAAGGCGCGGCTCCCGCCGGCGCAGACGTAGAGCTTGTCTTCCAGGTCTTGACAGACGATGCCCCTGAGCTCTTGGCCATGTTGGCGCTCATCCGATGTCCATATAGGTCACCGGTCAGAATGTTGGTGAGTGCTGACAGCAGTTTGGCGTCCAGAGTGGTAAACTTACCAACATCTCTGAAGGCTTCCGATGTCTGTTCTTCTTTCCAAGTTTCACTCATCCAATCGAATGCCTTGTCAGGGTCGGTTGAAGCGGACATCACAGCTTCCCTCCTAGTTCGAATCCTCCACTTTCTATATGATTCTGCATGTGGGAATGCTGGTACTTTGATGGTGTCTGCCTCTTTGACCTTGTTCCTGTCAGTCGATGGATCCTTGGGAGTTCCGAAAATGGCTCTCATCCTACGGACAAACCTTCGGTCACTGTCATCAGAATCATCACCGCCGTCGTCCCCATCATCATCCCCATCCCCTGGCCCACCTCCCGGTGGTCGCCGGCTCCCCTGAGGGGCCTGTCACCACCTTTGTCCTTTCGTCCGCTGCCTGGCTTGTCACTGCCCTTCGATGCATCGTCATCATTTGGATCGTCACCTGGTGGATCACCCCCTCCTCCTTCCCCCCTTCTCAGACGCTGCAATGCTGGTTGGAGGGAAAGTTGGGGAAGGTTGCCCTGCAATCTCTGAGTTTGGATCGAATGCATCAAACGGTGGTACCGTACCTTCCTGGCCTATCATTTCCCATAAGTCCTGATTGGCATTTACGGGCTTGGAGGCACTGGCTGATGCAAATGAGCTCAATGGTGCGGACAACTTGACCTCAGCATTTGGCGGCAATACGGCAGTGGCAGTTTGAACTACAGGGATAGGCAATGGACCTAGGGTGTTGAAGAGTTTTCCCATGCGCATCGCATGTTCATAGATTCGGTCTGCAACTGTTTGGCCTTGATCTGCTCACTTTGCTGTTGGATGATGGACTCTAGTTGCGACAACTGCATCCTGCGGCTTTCGTCTTGTCGTTCATAGTGGTCCTTCAGTGCTTAGATTTGCTGGTCCTTGGTGGCATTGGATTGTCTGGCATTTCCGTCTAAAACCCTTTTGTACACTTCTCCTTGTTGTGCGAGTTCCTCTCGATATTGAACCTCACGACTCTCTGCCAGTTTCATCAACTGATGCATCCGGGCACTGGCAGCTTCTTCCTCGGCATGAAACCTGCGGCTCATCTGAGATACCATCGTCTGAACCACGTGTTCTGTGTTGGCAAGCGCCTCACGGTGACGTGCTTCAGCAACCTGTTCCACCATATATGTGATAGCAGGATCATGAGTATTCACATGCATTTCATTAAGTTGTACTTGCTGAAGGTCCATCGTGTTGTGCGTCTCACTCGTTTCATGATGATGTACCTCAGTCTGGTTCATGTGCATGTGAGCTGAGCTCGCTGGCATACCCTCCCGGGATGCATGAAAGTCATACCCACGGTGTGAAAACCGAGTTGTGTCGCTGTGGGACAAGATAGCGCCACGTTGCGTCTTGACTTCACGCTTGTCACTTCGGGCGCGTTCGGAGGGAGTCTGTGCGTCTGATCCGATGGGAACCTCATTTGCAGCTTTGTCCGTGTCTGCGTCCTCAATGGCGATGGCTTGAACAACTCCGGATGGGCGAGTACCCTCTGGCGATGGTTTACCAGAAGGGGCAGACATGAGTTACAAAAGACAAGTATGCGGCGATACGGCTGATAACCTATATTTACAAGTTATACAGCCTCAAACAGCCACAAAGCGCACAATCTTGTTTTGCTTGAGCCACAATTGTCATAGGTATAATACATGGACAATAGGCATTACTTTACAGGGAGGTACAGGACACTTATAGTTAGTATCCCGTAAAAACAGTTATATATAATTACAGTGTATACTGCAGAGATATAGCACGTTCTTGCACCACTAATCTTTGACGTCCTTCTCCGCCATGCGCCGACAAGACCTCGCCCCATCGCCTGGCGCGACGACGCCAATCGCATTGCCGAAGGCATACAACAAATTAGCCAAATTAGCAGCCCAAGTTGTCCAAGAGCCAATGCCCAGTCCTCAATTTGGCTGACAACACTGATTTGACGTCAATAAAATTTCGGGCCTGTGGGCACAAGCCTTCTCTGCGAGACAAGCCCAAGTTAAGCTGGAATCAAAATGCAGGGTAACCCTTTGCTTTCCCAAAGTTTTTCTCTTTCATCAAACAAACAAACTATCCGTCGCAACCCCGAGCTCTCCAACGTGAACACCAAACTGTTGAGTTGCCACATCAGCCACCTCTCTTATTTTTATGTGGATATATGACAAAAAATTAACAAATACAGATCGACACACATAGATGATATACATGTTTTCCGCAAGCCTGCCCAGCACAACCATGCCCTCCACTTTGGCCAGCTTGAGCCAAACAAGCGCCATTGTGGAGGCGGGTCAACGCTGTCAACACTGAATCCTATTGCCCTGACGACGGGCACCTTAGCTGAGACCAGACATGCAGTTCTTCTCCACTGACGAACCCCTCTCACTGCTCGCATGGCGAAGCGCCATGCCCCATCAAATCATGTCAAATCGCAATTTTCGCACATCAAGTAAATTCCTTCGTTCATCCACTCATTCACCCACTCACTCATTCATTCATTCATCTCCTACATTTCATTCTCATGTCACTCATTTCATTCATTTCATTCATTTTCGTTCATTTCATTCATTTCTTTCATGTCATTCATCCATCCATCCATCCATCCATTCATTCATTTCTTTCATTCATTCGTTCATTTTTCATTCATTCATTTCATTTTATTTCATGTCATTCGTTTCTTCATTCATTCTTTGTTTCATTTCATTTCAATTCATTTCGTTTCATTTCATTTCATTTCACTTAATTTCATTCATTTCATTTCATTTCGTTTCATTTCGTTTCATTTCACTCATTCATTCGTTCGTTCATTTCATTTCATTTCGTTTCATTTCATTCCTTTCATTTCATTTCGTTTCGTTTCATTTCATTCATTCATTTATTCTTTCATTACATTTCATGTTTCATTTCATTTCATTTCATTTAATTTCATTTCATTTCATTTCGTTCATTCATTTCATTTCGTTCATTCATTCATTCATTCATTCAATCATTCAATTCAATTCAAGTCAAGTCAAGTCAAATCATTCATTCATTCATTCACTCATTCATTCATTTCATTCATTCATTCATTTCATTCATTCATTCATGCATTCATTCATTCATTCATTTATTTACTCATTTCATCCATTTCAACCATTCATCCATTCATTCATTTCATCCATTTCATTTATTTCATTCATTTCATTCGTTCATTCATTCATTTCATTCATTCATTCCATTCCACTCCATTCCATTCCATTCCATTCATTTCACTCATTTCACTCATTTCACCCATTTCATTCATTTCATTCATTTCATTCATTTCATTCATTTCATTCATTTCATTCATTTCATTCATTTCATTCATTTCATTCATTTCATTCATTTCATTCATTTCGTTCATTTCGTTCATTTCGTTCATTTCGTTCATTTCACTCATTTCACTCATTTCACTCATTTCACTCATTTCATTCATTTCATTCATTTCAGTCATTTCAGTCATTT